GCAAAACTAGTCTCACTGGTCAAAATAATGTTGTAGAAGTGCTTTGTTGGTCTCTCGTTCCAGTTATTCCAATCCGAGTTTGTAACCACAAACCCACTAATTTCATTCTAATCTCCTTCATGAAATTCTCGACAGAAGAGTGATTGTACCAAATTAGCCGCCGTTGCATTTATTTTGAAATCCTGTGACAATTTTTGTCAAAATCAAAGAGTAAATAATATGGTCAAATGAAAAATAAAAATAATATGAATAGATGTTATGAATAAAACCTCTTTGTCAGTGAAGATAAACTCCAAACACGGTTTACCATTGTTGTCAAACTCTGTCCATCTCTTATAAATCAAAACACGAATAGTCTATTTTCTCCCCATGGGTTTAATTGACTAACTAAATCGTAGTAAGAAATTTTGAAGAAAATGTTTGTTCGTTTTTTAGTTTTTTTACAAAATGATCAGAGTGGTTTTTATTTCCTGGATAGTTGCCGAGGTAATAGAATCAGAAACAGCGGATATTAAGCAGTTGTTCGGAGTAAATACAGTAAATTTAAATATTTTGTATAGAATTTAATTCAGTACCTTTTAATTAGTGCACTTCAATCAATTTTAAATTTTATTTAGTGTTTATTAATTTTAATATGGTTGGTATCTTTCATATCATATCTATTAAATATATTAACATAAATAGTGTCTTGACTGATAGCATAAAATCTGATTTGGTAAATATTGACTAATATCTCGCTATTTGATGTCTAGTTTAAGACCAAATTTCATGTAGGTTCAATCATAGATTTTCTTTTATTTTTTTGGAAAATTTGTATGTATTTATATATGCGACAATTGATTAGAGTATTTTATAAAATGTCCTTGGTAAAAAAACCAAAGCAAAAATATGCTTAGTATTTAAAAAAAAAACATTATAATTTATATTTGACTGAACAGAAAATTAATTTAAACATTAATACATTAAAGTAAGTTGTATATTAGTTACACATTTCATACACTTGGAAACAGCCAAATATATTTGTGCATGCAAAACGTAAATGATTTGATAGCCGAATATCTTTTGAGGAAGGTAAAAGCCTGACACCTACTTTATATAGATTCTGATACATGCAATGAACAAAAGTTAACAGTTAGTCAATAAATTATAATCACTATATCCACCTTAAAAAACCGAGTTGTTTTTTCTTTAAAAAATAACATTTGAAATTAGAATTTCTAATATTTCAATATCAATATAAGAACAGATATCTAATATTTGAATTACAATACTACTTTAAAACATCATATATTTAAACTTATAATATTATAATTACAACTCAAAACGGATAATTTATTAGAAACAGCATTCATATAATCCACAACTCCTCAGATCATAAAATCATCTGCACACCAAACAAAAAGTGACTTTAGGAAAAAAAAATTATATATATTATGCATAGATTAAAAGTAAACCATTAACATGTCAATACGTTATAACCATGATGTCTTCCTATCCATAGTTGATATAACGTCGTCCTCTCAAACTAGTTGTATTTACTGCAATGCGTGTTTCAATAATTGTTTTAGACGATATTGTAACTGTAACAGTTTATATAAAAGGAATAAAGATTAATCACCTGAAACTGAATCAATTATGGTAATGACGGTAGTAACAATAAACAGTATGATGTAATTACTCGAAGTATCTAATTTGTTGTCTTTACTGGTTATTATCAAAAAATCTTCGATTTCATACCACTGGTCTTCAACAAGTAATGAATCAAATTGGTTGATGAAGTTCTTATTAACTCTTGCCTCAATCGTATGACCCTAAGTGTAATAGAAAAATGTAATGTTTGATTATACACATATTAAAATTAAAAAATAATCATAACAATTATACATTTATAAAAGTAAGCACTGAAGTTAACCTTTGTGTCAGCCAACCGTAACATGAGGGTGATACCTTCATGTGGAATCCACTCTTTCTACTTACTAATAATCTTCACTCGAACAGTAAAACCTGTTTCATACTTATTTAAATCGGGAAATATCATTGTACAACATTATCGATGACACTTAAATTTTTAGTAAACTAATTTATGGCATTATAAAAGGGCAATATATATATAACGTTTTTTACAACATATTGTTCCGAATAATATGGTGAGTGTATATATTTGGAGATACAGTTACTGTTTCGTTTTCGATTGATTGGACGCCATAATATTAATATCAATGACGTATTCAATATTGTAACTGTATAATTTAAACTTAAAGGATCTAAATGATAATATGGCATATCAGTAATATTAATATTCATAACATAGCTTTCATCTATATTGATATGTTAACAATATCATATATGACATACTTGTGAAGTATAACAATATTCTGTATCAGAGTACATAATACAACACTTATGAGTTTTAAATATTTATTTTGTTGTATTTTTTAAAACTTAATTATTTCAATACCATGTAATATAGCTGACTTGAAAAAAATTAATTTGTAGATTTGAATGCAATATGATAATGAAAAAAGTGTTACCTATATTATGCAAATACATAACTCCATTTTATTGAGAATATTTATTGACAATTCGAAGATAACAGGAACATGAATAGTAAAATTTGCAGGATCACTAAAATTCGAAGATATTATATAATTAATGACATTTTATAAGTTATGAAATATTTGTTGTTAGGACGGTTAATAAATAATTACCATAATGGTGTTATAGGAATTATTATTTTAGATTCTACTCTATTAATCCAAACAGGTTATAGCCATATTGGTAAGATGATGAAGAATTATTAAACGATATATTATTATAAATTTGACTATCAGTTTTAAATGCACGTCGTTGTAAATAGAAAACATTCCACTACCGTATCTTAGTCATGGTAAATCTTTACTAAATTTTAAAAGTACAAAATATGTAAAAACTGTATGTTATTAATTACTACCAGTAATAGTAGTTTGGCATATGATTCAGAATATATAAAATGATACATAAAATAAAATGAAACCACTTCATAAGTAAAAAAACATTTTATTGGATAACAATAAAACGAATATACTTAAATAATCTTCAAAAGGGACAAACCCTCTTGCAAAACATGCATCTTTAAAGGTCGAGTAAACAACACCATCAAATTCTTTTAAATCTTCATAGCAGCATGGACCTCTGACAATATGAAAAAGTAGCCATAAATAAAATAAATCGCCTTCGTCAATAGAACAATAGTCAAGGACACATGGCTTCGCTTTTTCTAACATTGGAGGAATCCATTCTTTATGTTTTTCATCCCAAACTAATATTTCTGCCACTTTGGTAAATTTAGCTTGGTCATATTTCTTATTGCACTTCATCCACGCCGGAAAATTTGTTTTCGGTATCTATCCAGTTGATCTGTCATTACACTCTTAATTCATTAATGGGAGATGAAATAGCAAAGTTTTTATAAAATATAAAGAAAATGATATCAATAGACAAATTAAAAGGACAAACAATATAAAACTGTAACTAAATGAAACATTAGTAAATCAAAATAAACATAACAATACAATAATTTAAGTCAAATAAACCTTTATCGCTCATCTTGGTATAACTACTCACAAAAAGACTGCTTTAGTGAAAGTGAGAGATTATTCGTTTATATAAGAATATAAAATGTGTAGTCGAGTATTATATAGCGTGAAGTAAAAATTAGGGTTTTAAGTTGCCATCTCTCAATATAGTAATTTAAGGTTATAATTATAATTTTAGTAAAATATACATATGGTTAAGATTGTAGCTTTAGAATCTTCTGGTTATGATTGTACGCAATGGGTTTAGTAGTTTTTGTATAGAGTAAATTGTGACTCTTATGGCTGATAAGTTACCTGTGTCTGTAAATATTTCTTACTTTATCGTAAATAAAACTAAGAGACATAACTTAATACAACTTCTAATATTTGACGTCAAATGATTGGTATTCTAAACGGTACTATTAAATAACGAAACATTCCCATCTTGTAACTGTTATATCGAACTCCACCATTATATTTCCAATTTTTTAAAAAATACAATAGTAATTCTGTTAATATCCATCATCATTTTCTTTTCTATCAAAAATGTCTCCTTGCAAAAGAATCTCTAAAATTAATTTATCATCCGAAGGATACAGCATATGCATCCAAATATTTAAGAAAGTGGTAGAAGAAACCAGTTCGAGTGATTCGGAAGCAACAATGGTTTAGGCTGATGAACATGTAAGTACTTAAATCGCTAATTTCATATGTTACCAATTTTGTTAATTTAAATTTATAATTATTAATTTTAATTTCATATTTCTGGATAAAATTTTGTGATATTTTATTATAAGGTGATACAATTTTTGCAACGATTCCCCATAGTGTAATGAATCTTAACAATAATATATGTTGCAAGAGAAATTGGTATTTCGTTCGCAAATTTGGAATCACTGAAGAATCAACTTCATCGAACGTAATATTCAATAGATATCAATTATGTATAAATGATGATACTCGGTTTCATATGACATCCCAACAACTTTGAAGACCTTATGTATTCTTTTTTAAAAATTTAACAAACTAATGTCATCTTCATTGACAACATCTTTCAAAACTGGTACATTTTTTTTTTTTCGGATGAATGTTAAATTTTATTCGAACAAAAAAAAGCGTTTTCTACATCGATGATGCGAGCGTTTTAATCAAAAGAAAGCTACAGAGTTAAGAAAAACAAAATTTTGTGATCTCGATTAGAGTACTTGAAACTACTCAGTGTCGTGAGTTTGAGGCGAACCACAGCTGAATGCCATCCGCGTATTTGGTGTCTCCCTGGGAGCGAATGGAGCTTATACTATTTCTGATCCCCTTATCAATATCATTCACTATTCTGGTCCAATCTGAAGAAGGCGAACCATGCCTGCGACAGTTTCTCTCCCTCCATATTGCATGAATTGTCTGCTGGAACAGGTAACGAGTGATAAACCCCTTAACCAGAGGCTGCTAACGCCGAGAGATTAGAGTGACTAGAGTCGTCCAATCTGTGGTGAACTCTTGTTGCATAATTCCTTTAGCTACAGTTGTCCATATCCGCATCGAAAAAGGACAGGAGAAGAATAAATGGTCTCGCGACTCCAATGGAGCTTGACAAAGAGCGCACGACACTGAAATATTTGGGTTCCATTGCTGCATTCGATCACCTGTTGAAAGTCTATTGTGCAGAGCCAGCCAAGCCATGAACCCGAACTTCGGAGAATGATGCTTGAACCAGATCCCTTCAGCCCAAGGGACTTTCGACGAACTTATAAGCTGGTCCCGAGTTGCTTTTGCACTGAAAATCGTTTTAAACAAATCCACCTTCGATTTCCATAGGAATGTGTCATCCTCTGTCTGTTGATATCTCCTCCGTAATGCCTCTAACTCATCCTCAACTTCATTCAATTTCTGAACTCGATGCCTTCGTCTTCGATGTGATAGTATTGCATCCTCAACTGTTGCCGTGTGGGGAATTCCCAAGTCGACACAGCCTCGGGCTCCAAACAAATTTAATAGATTCCCAAGCGACGACCAATTGTCGTACCAGAACAAGGCCGATCTACCATTACCAACTCGCACTCTTAGAAATGCCTCTGCGAGGTGCCTAATGTGCAGTATTTGCTTCCACATCCATGATCCCGTAGATTGGGTAGTAGGAGGTGGAGTAAGCCACACCGAACCATCTCTCATTAGATTTACTTCTGTCCATCGAACCCATAATGATTGCTTTGTAGTGACTATCCTCCAAAACAATTTCAGAATACAAACATCATTTGCAACAGCTAGATTCTTCAGGCCCAGCCCTCCATCCTGCTTCGATTTGCACACTTCCGACCAAGCTATCTTGGCTTTCCTTGGTTTTAAGTCCGGTCCTGACCACAGGAAAGCAGAGCTCAAAATATCGATTTTATCCAAACATCCTTTTGGTAATCGGAAAGCTTGCATCCAAAAGTTCACAAGACTGGCGATGACTGACGAAACCAGTTGAAGGCGACCGGCGAATGAAAGCTGTCTTGCTGTCCATGAATTAAAACGAGTCCTGATCTTATCTATTAGAGGAGCGTAATCAAGAGATTTCATCTTTTTTGTAAGCAGAGGCAACCCCAAGTATCTAACTGGAAGCTCACCTTGCTCAAATCTGTATCTTTGACCGAGAGTTTGACGATCAGCTTCAGAAACACCAGCAAGAAAAGCTGTAGATTTCTCCATACTTATTTGCAGTCCTGACATCTTTGCAAAGTCCTCGAAAACCCCTACGATTCCTTCCATTGAGGACAACTTCCCATCCGAAAAAATCATTATATCATCCGCAAAACATAGATGAGTAAGCTTGAGAGTAGAACACTTTGGGTGAAAACCATACTTTCTTTCCACAGCAGCCTTATCCAACATATGAGAAAGAACATTCATGCAAATCACATACAGATATGGCGATAAGGAACAGCCTTGTCGCAGACCCCTCGAGCTATTGAAATATCCAGCTAGTTCCCCATTCACCTGAACAGAAAAAGAAGCTGACGAGACGCACAATCGAATCCAGTGAATAAATCCTTGCGGAAGATCCATTGCTTCAAGAACTGTTAGAAGAAAGCTCCACTCAACCGAATCGAATGCCTTTGAGATATCTATTTTCAAGGCACAGCGTGAGGAAACAGATTTTTTGTGATATCCGGCAACAAGTTCCGATGCAAGTAACAGGTTTTCCAATAACAGACGGTCTTTAACAAAAGCAGACTGGTTGGGCAATATGAACTGAGGAAGCAATGTCTTGAGACGATTCGCCAAAATCTTAGAGACAATCTTGTAGATTACATTACAACAAGCTATAGGCCTGTAATCTTTCATGAACAGAGCTTGGTCTTTCTTGGGTATTAAAGCCAATATTGTGGAATTAACACCCTTAGGAAGAAACCCTTTGCTGAAAAAGGATTGTATCGCCACCACCAAGTCCTGTCCAACTATTGACCAACAGTCCTTGAAAAATTCCACCGTGTAACCATTCGGCCTAGGGGATTTATTCGCAGGCATTTCAAAGAGAACTCTTTTTATTTCTTCTGCGGTGACCTCTGCAACAAGTTTCCTCTGATCGCTCTGACAGCATCGAAACTTTAGTAACCCCCTCATCTCTGCAATCGTCGTTTGTCGAAGATCATCTGGTCGATGATTCATAAACGAATCGAAATGTCGAACTGCCTCGGCCTTGATCGCATTTGCATCCTTAATTACAGTCCCCTCCACCGATTGTAACTCACGGATACCATTTCTAGCTGCTCTAACCTTCACAGCACGGTGAAAAACCTTTGTGTTTTTATCCCCATGTTGCAGCCAATTCAGCTTCGCCTTCTGAGCTAGATACATTTCCTCCAAATGCACCGATTTTTCCCATTTGAGACAAGCTTCACTCTCCTCTTGCTGAGCCAGCTCCGAGGGGTTTGAGAGAGTCTGCTCCTGCTTTTGACATAACAACTCAAAATTTGCGCGAACTTTCTTCGAAATATCATGCAGAGATTCCCGAGAAAAGTGCCTAACAACTGGCTTCAGATTCTTTAGCTTTTTTGAAAACCGGTAAAGTGCAGATGTAGAGTGGAATAAAGGCGTTGTGTCTCCCCAATAATCTCTCAACGCCGATTGGAACTCAGGTTGCTTTGCAATCACATTCGAAAATTTAAAGGCTTTTTCAGCCGAACACTTTCCCCATCAATATAGAACCTACACCGCATGTGATCTGAGCAGCCCCCGGATTCAAAAACAGAGTATGATCTCGAGTTTCCATTGAGCCAATGGTCATTGATCAAAACCCTATCCAATTTCTTACAAACAAGTCCTTCATTCCTCTTATTTCCCCAAGTGAAAAGAGGTCCATGATATCCCATGTCACTTAGATCTCCATCCCGAACTAGATCCTGAAAATCCCACATTCCTGATGTCGAGACTGCTCGTAAATCCTGACAAGAATGCTCAGTAATAGAAAGAATTTCATTGAAATCTCCCATTATCACCCAGCGCAATCTTCGATATATTGGTGATGTAAAGTGAGCCCTGAGATCACTCCACAACTCCTTTCTATCCTCCGCAAAATTCGAACCGTAAACAAAGCTGCATAAAAATTCCTCGTCTTGAGTTTGAGTCTTCACTAACAGAGTAATCACTTGACTACTCTTGAACACTGGGGTCATACGTACTGAATCCTTCCATACCACTCAGATTCTACCAAGCCGGTGATGATCATAGTTACTGATAAATGACCACCCCGGAAAAACTTTTGCAACTATTTCGTTTGCTTTCTCTTCTTTGACTCTCGTTTCTATCAACCCTCCAAACTGAAAATCATGCTCTCTGCACCAACTATTCACAACGCAATGCTTCTTCTGTTTGTTAAAACCTCTGATATTCCAAAAAAAACCTGACATAATTAATGATTGGATTTTTTCTGGACCCTCTTCCTAGTCTTCTTACCCGAATTCTTTGGAGAAGATGAGTTAGAAGCAGGCTTGTCAATAGGCTTAACAACTTTAAGCGCCGACTTAGACCCTCTTGGAAGCTGAACCCGACCTCCATTGCTTGGATCCTTCTCCGCAACAACCTTTGAATCTGCAAGCTCATTCTCAGGTTCTGTTTCCAAACGTACACTCTCTGCACTTTCATCTATTTCCCCTTCCTCTTGATCAAGCGAAGCAAATCTTGAGGTTGAGACAATGTCTTCCACATCACCCACCTTTGGCGAACCTCGCCTAGAAGCAGGAGACTTTACTTCTTGCCAAATCGCTTCCGCAAAAGTTTTAAAACTATCAGTTAAAGACTCTGTGGAATCCGCTGCCATATCAACTGAACCATTTGCACGACCCTCACTTTGTTTTCCTAGAGGAGCAACTGTTACCACTTCTCCTCCTGGTGCATTCCCCATTCCCTCCTTAGCAACACTTTTCCCTGGTAGCTCCACCCCCAGAACCCTCGATTTCTCACCCGCTGAATGAACTGTCAACCGATCGATCTCCTTAGCCGCATTAGTGTTTCCCACTTTCACTGGAGAACTCCGTTGCAGAATCCTTTTATCTCCTGGCTGTGCTTTACACTCAGCGATGGTATGACCCCACTTCGCGCATGACACACACCTTGGAGGGAGCCACGGGAACTCGTATTGAACCACAGTGTCAACTCCAGTCTTTGATTTAAAACTAAAGCTTTCTGGGAGCTTCTGATCAAGATTCACTTCCACAAACACTCGTGCTTCCTCAAAATTCTTTGCCCAGAGCGTATCAGGATGAAGTTTTTTTTGGTTCCCTTAAAGGACTCGCAAGAAAACTAATCCCCTTCCATGAAAACATCGAACGAGGAACGTTCCGAAGTACAACCCACATAGGTAGCACTTGTATAGCTGGCTGAGCTTCCTCTACCACCGGGCTCCATTTGGATACCATCATCAGTATGTTTTTGATACTCCACATCCCTCTTCGAAGAACCTGTGATCTAGTAGATGCATCAGGTATTTTGAATTGGACTGTGGTATCGTCAACAACAAAGACATCAATCTTCAGAGACTTATCACCCGAAGTCCATATCTTATTCACCGTCATATGAATGTAACCCACATGAGGCGCAGCCGAAACGAACTTCCCCACAATAGTATCCTCCTACACATCATCTCAAACACATCATCTGGCACATAAATAAGTGTCCACACCTTCCTCGTTTTCCACCACGACATCGTACTTTCTCAATCTCGCCTTGTCTGCAACAACTGCTGACCAGGACTTTCCCTTCTCCAACTCGACTCCCTTAGCATGAACATGAACCGGATCAGCACTCTCCTTGCTCGGAGATGACTCACGAGATCGCCGATCAACATCCTCCTTATCTAACCCTACTTTTGCAGACACAACCTTATTCACCACGGTCTTTTCGGCCGCCAAACTATCTCTCCCCTCCTCAGAGATCACCGTCGGCATCGTCTCCACCTTCTCCACCATCGGAACCGCCTGTTCCGACCCCGTCATGCCCTAGCGTGGGCAGGAATCCTTCGGAAAACCCTAGAGCTCGAGATCGCCTTCAGAGTCGCACCCGTGCTGACGATATTTTTAACTGGTACGTTTTCATATATGTTATTGTTAATATGTAAAAAATTTAATTTCTAAACTTCCGATTTATATTACATTTGTATAGTTGACTTGATTGAAGGAATTGTAAAAGTTCACAAAGTGACTGAACCTGGAGGGATGAAATATGCAAGACAAGGGCTTGATACAAATAAGTGTATCAAATTTACGATTCAGAATTTTGAGTAAGTCACTATCTATAGGAATTTGCTTTATAATAATAATTATGATTGAGAATATATATATTGACAGTTTCATATTTTCCTAGGTGTATTGATATTAAATGCTTTACATTGGGTAAACATGCTGTCAAATTTGAAGAACTCTGGTTAACAAAACTTAGAGGCAAAGTAATAATATGTGTGTTAAGATTTTGGAAGATTGCATCTTATGGAGGTAATTATTTTTTTGCTTTATTTATAATTTCTGAAATTGTTTTTTGCTACATGTATTTAAAAATTGTCCTATATTGCAGATGACATACGTATTTATTCTAATGATAAATTTTCAGATTAAATTTGATCCTCCTATTCTGGAAGTAGAGAATTCACGTTTCATGTAAGTAGAAGATAATAAAATATTTTTTATTTTTTCGTATATAGAAAAAGTTCATATAAATATATTTTAATAAATGTTATAAATATATTTCAGATTGGATTATTCAGATGATTTTAATAACGTTGAAGATGAGTACTGGGGTTGGATATGCTGTTCTATGAAAATAGTAGAATAGGATAAACTATTATAAGTTAGTTTTTTTTTGTTCATTGTCACATTTTGTATTATTTTTTGTTGAACTTTGAAGCATCATACTTTATTAATGTTGAAATTATTTATTATGCATAAGCAATCATTCAAAAAAGCAGTAACAGATGAATAACACTCCGATAGAAGATATTAAATGGGAAAAATTATTTATGAATTCAGTAACATAAAATAAAATGTTTACGAAACAATAGAAAATTATGAAAGGAACCTTGAAATGGAAATAATTAAAGCCAAGAGATTGAATTTAAAGAACGATGCAATGTCTCACACTTTTTTTTTTTGAAATTCTTTTTCCAATGCTACTTCCTTTAACTTAAACCATCGACTTTACCTCAATTTTTGCATCATCATTCGAGGTTTCATCAAAATTCGATTTGCCGGTTAACCCTTCGACAGTAGCCTCAACATCGACTTTCTCAACAAATTCATCAGCAAGATTAATTGGGCTGTCCATGCTACTTGACTTAATACACGACTTCTTAGATGATGAAGACTCCTCAGTCAATTCTTTATTCTCGTCGCGACTACGTGTAGATAAAGGCATATACTTCTCATCACTCATAGCCTCAGATGGTTCGTGACTATCAGAATTGACAATTGAAATCTGAAACAAATTAGATTATTGTACTAAAAATAATTATTTTACAATTCGTACATAACTTCATTAAATCAAAACATAATTAATTCATACACACTAACCTGCTCCACAGAAAGAATAGTACTATCTTCTACTGCAGACTCAGATTCATATTTTGTTTCACCCCTTTGCAGATGACCACCATTCCAGACCTTCCCGACTTTGTATGTGCTACTGCCTACCCAAAGATTTTCTTTCTCCACATGAATCAGAAACTAGAAAGTCTTACCAAACACATTGTTTAGGGCTTCTGGAACTGCATCCGAATCTTGAATCTACTGGAAATAAATGTTAAAATCATGTCAATTCACCACATTATTTACCTAAATTATATAAAAGATATGCTAAGATATTAAACTCACTTCATCGAATTTTCCCTGTAGGACTTCATCGGCGGTTTGGTGTACAACATCTTCAGCTAAAGAGTTAAACAGAAAACATTTGATTTTTGCAGTATTTTCCATAACACGTAGGTGAAGCTTATACCTAGAACAAAACAAAATTTAAAAAATTATCTAGCACTAGCAGAATGAACCTTGGAGTTACAAGTTTCACATGAATATAGAGTTTTCATCCCAACCTTCTTTTTTTCATCTTCCTTCTTAGGAATCTGATATACCTTTCTGGCGCACTTAGTAGAGACCAGATAAAACCAAGACTAATCTGTATCGACTGTGTAAACCATACATATGATTTTACACTTCCAACCTGAAGACAGTAAATTCAATGATTAGTAAAAACCAAAAAAAAAAACAACTAATTAACATATGAGTAGCATTTACCTCAAGACAATCAAAATAACTCTGATATTGTGACCATTGGAAAATTTTCAAAACTCTTATTATCGTTCAAAGCTTTTCTCTCGGCAGGTTTACTATAAATATGCACAATACGACCACCATCTTCAGGCAAGCTGAAAAGTACATTTGGTTATGAATCAAGACAAATACTATTTAAAGTTATAAAAATATTGTAATACCTATAATAAAGGTAACTGTCTAACATTTCCCTTAATGTTTCAACCTCAGGATCTTTACTATTAATCAGCAATTTTCATGTTTCAAACAAAAAAATAATTTGATGATCACCTAAAAGAACAGTATTTAGTAGTATAAAACAGTATTAATGAAAACAATGTTTTTTAAAAATAAGATTATAAATGATATACCTCTGTAAACATTGATTTTCCCAAATATAAGGACAAGCACCAATCCATCATCACCACATTCTTTAAAAGTCTCACTGACTTGATTAGCAAATTTTCCCCATAACATACATGGTATACGCTCATCACTATGTTTTAGACTAAAGCATTAGAAGAAAAATTATAAGATGAAATTATATTTCTTTGGTATACAATATGGAAATCAAAAATATGAAGTAGGTATATAAAGTACATACAGACTTTGCATTCCTCATTTTAAACTCAATCTTACTGGTATCCTTGTTTGCTATGTCTATAATTTGCATCATTTAGGCTGCATTTTAGAGTCCAAATCATGTGTTTTTTCATTCATTTTAGGTGTTTAGGCATCAAATTAGGCTTTAGGGTTTGGATTAGGTCCCAAAAAGTTTTGCATGGTTTGGAGTCTTTATCAGGTGCTTTGGAGGTTATTTGGAGTTCAAGAAGTGTGATCAGGAGTTGAAATGGTGAAGAAAAGGGTCAAAAATGGTGAAAACTGCTTTAAGGAGTTTCTCGGCAAAAGCATGTACCAGGTGGATCAGTTTATCGGCTAAAAATGCTATCGAGTGGTTTTTATCGGCTAAAAATCAGTACTGGGTGAAAATTCTATCGGGTGAAGCTTTACGATGGGAATATTTATCGGCTAAAAAGCTTACCGCGATACACGTTTCTCGGATATTTTCCTTACCGCGAGAAGCATTTCTCGGCTAAAATCTGTTTTCACCTGCGCGCATCAAAGATTGCGAATCCGGGGAATCTTCTGGTCCGAATCTGATAGTAGGAATTTTTCAATCCTTGATCAATTCCTCAACTACTCATGTCATTGTAGCACTTGAGGTATCAATCCAAATGGAGAGATTCTAGACACTAGAACTAGGAGGAGCTATCTTAATTCAAGTCTAATAAGCAGATGAGTTGGTAACATGGTGATCTAAAAACATAAAGCAAACAAGAACAAACAGGAATTAAGAATTAAACAAGCAAGCAAGACAAACAAAACAAAGACTCAAATTCAAATAAAGAGAAAGCTAAACCTCTAGATGTGATCATTGATTAGGGTGCTTTAAATGTGAATTCATGATGCTAAGTAAACAATGCAACACTTTCAATTCTTTAGTCTAGACTTCCAAATAAGATTAATTCATTCTGATGACAAAAATCCCTTTGTTAATTACCAAATCAATACTAATTCCCATTAGATGAATAAGCAATAACCAAGCATAAGGTTCCAAGTCTAAAATGACCAGACAGCCTCTTTGTGCATCAAAATAAGAGCTAAGAAAGATAAGAAGATGAGATGATAAGAAACAGACTTAGATTGTTTAAATCCTTGAGATATCTCTTAACAAACTCGTTTTTTAACAAAAGGGGAAAGAGAAAACAAGAGAAAACAAAGCTTAAGTCTTGGAAAAAACCCTAAAAAGCATATATAGTGTCTCTTGCGGACCAGGTCAGCCCAGGAAAAACTGGGTACTGACCTGGCTTCAAATGCGTCATGTCTCAAGTGTGCGATATGGTCAGGTGATTCCCAAGTCGCAGGCCCAAGTCGCACAGCCATAGAAGCAGCCTTGTGCGCCACAAATCCCTCAGCCTCAGCCGCATGCCTATCTAGGTGTAAACAGCGAAGGTTTGTGCTGCTCAGGCTTCCTTCTCTTCAACTCGCACAACCAGGATACATTATGGAGATAATATGTGTGCAAGATGGTCACTTCCTTGTCCAAGTCGCATGCTCAAGTCGGTGTAATTTGTGAACACATGTGCTACATGTTTCCACTTCATGTCCAACTCGCAGGTCTATCTCGCACAGCATTGTGGACTTACTCAAATTTGATTCTGGAAGTCTCTACCTTTCTCAGAGTCTCCTTACACTCATCTCTAAAGTCTCAACTTGTTTCCAGAGCGTTGAACATTTATGGGTGCGAGTTAATCAAGTCGCAGTACCGTATCGCACAAACTAAGCCTTCTCGGACCACTTTGCATTGAGGGGAGAGTAACTTCCAGGATATGGCTCCAAATGGCATGATTTTAACTGCATTGGAAATACAACTCAAATATCTCGAACTTTGGTTAAGGGTTTGGGTTCAGGTGACGTCTGCAAGGGCTCCGTTCCACCGGTTCTTTGATGCGCGTTGCGTTGGTCCTTTATCCGCTCCGAGACATGTACTGCTTCTTATCGCCGTAACGTTCATCCCAAAACTGAAAATAGGACGATCTAAAGTTTTCTGGAAACTAGACTCGACGCTCTTGATTCTTTATGAAGACTCCGGAGGCTGAATCCTGGTGAAAGTCTTCTTTCTCAGGTGATCAAGTTGA